GATTCCATTTTTGTGTCTTTCGGTCTCTAGCCCTCTCGCAATTTCTATTGAACCAATCCTGTTTCCTAGTTCTGCATCTCTGTTTTGGTATAAATTTTTTTGTGCCTTTATCATATATTTCACAAAACTTGCCATACATCTCATTCACTTCCTTGCCTAGCATCAAGTCTGTCCAATTATACTCACTAAAAAAATTTCTAAGGTCACCATAATGTCCTCTCCTGAAGTCTGGTTTTTCAACTGCTTCAACCTCCTTATTTTCTTCCAGCTTATAACGCATTGCATACTTTATTCCCAAAAAGACATGGTCACTTTTACCCAAGGGAGGAAGGTACTGAATGTCAAATATCTCTTCCTCCTTCCTGGTAAATATCAAATCTAGCATGGAGGGAACGTCCCCTTCCCTCATCCTCGTAGCTTGTTTAACATGTTGATACAAGAATGTTTCCAGGATGAGGTCTACAAATTTACAGGTCCAAAAATCTTCTGTTTTAGCTTCATATGCTTCCCAGTCTATGGATTTCAAGTTGAAGTCACCGACTATCAACAGTCGTGATCTATCGTTATCCGCTCTCGCTATAATCTCTCTCATTATTGTTATAAGACCTTCACGTTTACTATCTAGCTCCTCCTTTGACCATGTGCTGCTTGGCGGTGGACTATATGCATTTATCATCATTAGTTTATCATCCTCATAGCAGATCTCTAGTGCTATTATGTCAACTTCTTGTGGATTGGCAGTCATTATTTCCTTCACCTTTAGGTGTTCTTTTACCAGCACAGCAACGCCACCGCCTTTCCTAATTTTTCTGTCCCGTCTCCAAATTGAGTAGCCCCTTGGGAATATGACCTCATTTAAAATTTCATCTTCAAGTTTTGTCTCCGTGAGTGCAACAATGTCTGGTGTCTGCAGCTGTATTACATCACTTAACTCCAGTATCTTCGATCTCACTCCATCTATGTTGGTGTATGCAATCTTCAGGAACTTGTTCCCCCTCTCCTTATTCTTCACTCCCCCTCTCTCTATTGATTTTGTTGGTTTGCCTTTATGTACCACTTTACTGGTTTGCCTACCCCTATCACTTTGTAGAAAAAAGAATTTATTTCTTCTTCATTCCTGCTCTCATTTAAATGTTTTGCCTCGGCGAGGCAAGGTATGTGTGTCACATACCTTGCGTGTATGTGTATATGTATGTGTATGTATATATACATGATATGTATATATGTGTATGTGTACTTTTTCTTTCGGAAGGGGCTCTGTTCCCTTCTCTGTTGATGGGGCGCTGGGGGAGCAGCTTGCTCTGTTGACTCTCGTATGGTCCTGCTGTTGGTGGGCGCTTTTGGTTGTCTTCCGGCCTCTGGTGGCGGCGGTGGACGGCTTCTCTCCCTTTGGGGGGTTCAGAGCTGGCGGGGTGGGCTTCTTTCTTTGCGCTTCGTCATGTCATCTTGATGGGTGCGTTGGGCGTGGTTGATCCGCCCCATCCTTCTGGGGTTCCCGTCTGCTCTTTGCAGACATGGGCCTTCGAATCTGCGGTTCTTCTGGACTTCTTCAGTCTGCGCCCTGGCTTCTATGCCCTCCTAGGAGGACTGTTGTGTCCTGTCCGGCTTCTGTTGGGGGCCGGGTGCCTGGATGGTGACCCTGGACCTCCAGGTCAATTATTGGCACTTGGTGTATTTTTGCATCTTTACCGGATCTTGGTGCCCTGTCTGAGTCTGCTTGAGATTCGGTGTCTGGCCTACCTCGACGACTGGCTGGTGTGGGCTCCCAGTCGGTCCGCTTGTCTGCTCACCAGGGGTGTGGTTCTTTCCAGATCGCCGGGTTTGGTTTCCTGGTGATCTGGAGGCCATTCCATCTGTTTCCGTCCCGAGTTCGGACCTGGGCCTTGTTTAGGGCTATTGGGCCACTCATTGTCTTTCCCTCCAGAAGTGTTACTGTGGCTGTGGTCCTGCCTTCGGCTGTGCATGAGGGGGTCCCGGGTAGCTCGAGTTGTTGTGCGGGAGTCTGAACTTCGACGTGCTGGTCTGCCCGTGGGGTCGGGTTTGACTTCGGCGTCTGTTTGGTTCCTTTGGAGACTCCCCTTCCGCCTCTTGCAATCGTTGGCTTCGTTCCTCCGGGTATCTTGTGTTGGTGCTGCGTCACCAGCTTCCTCTTTGGGGTTTTCAGGGTTCCGTGCCTTGGCACCTCCCCGAGCCTTCGCTCGATGTGTTCATGGACGGGTCATCTCTCGGCTGGGGCTTTTGTGACCAGTGCTCACCAGGTTGGCCGGGGATGGAGGAGTCTGTCCGTCCTTCGGGCTCACAGCACGGTTCGGGAGTTCGTGGCTGTCTGGTTTGCGCTTCGGAGGATTTGGGTCACTCGGTGCTCTACCATTCAGCTCCATTCGGACTGTTCTCTGGCGGTTCTTGCCGGAATCACAGGATTTCTCTTAGGTGTTGACCTTTGGGGTTGGTTCCTTGGAGTGGCTCATTTGCTGGATTCTCTGGGTTTGGCTAACCATGTTTCATGTCCGGGGTGTGCTGCGTCCTGGCGGACAGCTGTCTCAGTTCATTTCTCTGTTCGCGGATTGGCCAGTCATCACCGACTCGTTTCGTTGGCTCTGCCGGACGTATGGACTCCTGGCCTTGGACGTTCTTCGAGTCGGCGAGGTCTAGGCGTCGCCCATTTTATGTGGCGCCTTACCCGCCTGCGAGGCATTCACGTTGGATGCTTTTCAGCAGGACTGGTCGAGGTAGGGGTACCTGTTCCTCTTCTCCCAGTCCAGCTGTTGCTTCGGGTTTTGGCTTGGTTGCAGCCCATTCACACGAGAGCAGTCCTTATGGTTCCTTGGTGGCCGGCCCAGCTTCTTTTCAGATGCTGCTTGATAGGTGTCCGAACCCGCGGCATTTTCCCGCGGCTCCATCTCTTTCGGCAGGTCGGATCGGTCCTGTACGTGACTGGTTCGGCCTTCTCCTTGGCTCTTCGCGTCTGGTGTTTTGACGCGGGTATCACCATCTCTGTGGTGTTCAGGTGGCCTTGTTGACGGTGTCCCACCTGCGAGCTTCGTCTTGGCGACAGTATGACGTTCCTGGTGTTTCTATGCACTTTTTCTTGCTCTTTGTACGTTGTCTTCTCTTTCGCATCGGGTTGTCTTGACCTTTCTTGGGTTTTCTGGACTACAGTTTTTTTTATGTTTTCTTACTGTTGCCTCGTTTTATGCAGTGCTGGTGGAGCCGCTCCAGCTTGCGTTCGGGGTGGACGTCACATCTGCCCCGTTCCATACGCATTCTCGTGTTTTGTTTCACCTCCGGCCTGCTTATGCGTCCCCTGCGCTGTCCTGGTCCTTGATCAGGGTGCCTTCTTAACTTCTCAGTTTGTGGTAGCCCCTTCGGTTCAGGTTTCTGCTCTTTGGTACTGGTGGTAGATTTGTACGTGTGCAGCCTTTCTCCGTCCTGGCGACGGTCGAGAAGGCTGGTTTCCGGAGGGGTTCTTGGGTTATTGATGCTTGATTGGTTTGGCGGGGGGTGCGTCCTGTGTTGTCCGGTTGCGCTTTTTGCCGTTACCTGCGTACCGTGTCTGGGGATGCGCTCTGGTTTGATCCGGTTCCCCTCGTTCCCTGTTTCAGGGCTCGGGTCTCTCAGGTCATCCGCAGAATTTTTCAGTCTTCCAGCCTGCGGTCTGTCTTTGCGCCCGTGCTGTTCAGACGTTTGCAGCTTTTGCTGCTGTGTTGGTGATGTCTAGGGCTTATTTCGGGCGCAGGGAATTGAGGGTCGCACAGGTTCCTGGCCGCCCATTCTTTATACGCGTCTGCTCCTGTGCGTTCTTGTTGCCTTGGGTCGCAGGTTGCATCCTGTTGTCTCGACTTCGCGTTGCGGAGTTTGTGGCGGTTGCCTCCCGGGTTAGCCCTTTCTTTTCCTTCTTTTTGGGTATGAAGCTCCAGGGAGCCGTAGGGACTCCACAGAAAACCAGCGTTGAATGTAATGAAACGCCATTTTCTGGGTGAGCCCCGGAGGCTCCCTGGGAACCCTCCCTCCCACCGGTCAGCGTTTTTTTTCGCATTGGTTGAAGCTTAGCTTCCGAACTGAAGCTTGGCAGCCGCCGCGGTAGGTCTGGGGGCTTCCCCCTCCCCCTCTCGGGGCGGGGAGGGCTATGCGGACGATCGGCGCGGCAGTAAAGTGTGATGTTTGCTTGTTTCCTTGTGATTGTAGGGAGTTTCTACCTCTCTGTTCGTTTTTTTGTTTTAGTTTTTTACCATGTGGGGTTTGTTTTGTCATGCCTACCTTTCTGGGTGTCTGGCCCCGGTCGATGGCAAATAAGGAAAACCCCAACCACAAGAGGGTATCAACCAGGTATCAACCAGGGTTTTCCAGTGCCATTGCTTCCTGAAACCTCTATGAAGGGGCCAGGTTCTGGCGCTGGTCCCTGGTAGGTCTGAACTCCTTAGCTAATATCCCGGTCTAATATAACATACATTAGCTCGATAAGGTCCAGGGGAGCCTCTGGGGCTCACCCAGAAAATGGCGTTTCATTACATTCAACGCTGGTTTTTTATTATTTTTTCCATGATCAGGGAATACAAATTAACAGGTTTAGAAGAAAAAATATTTTTTTTTTTTTTTTATGCGCCTGTGGGTGACAATGGTCAAATAACCCTTAGCAACACAAGGGTTAACAAAGAATTTGCAACTGATGACACTCAAGAAGTTTGGCAGTTGATCAGTATGATAGCTTCAATGAGCTTCCGGGCCTCACCCAAAAACTGGTGTTTCATTACAGTCAATGCTGGTTGTTTGTGCTTACTTTATGGTGGGATATTTCTTGGTTTTATGTTGCTCTCTGATTCCCTTGCTTCCATTGCTTTGTAGAGAGCCAGATTCTGGTTTTGACTCTTGGTAAGCATGGCTGGGTCTCAAAGGCTGAACCAGCACTTGGATTGTGAAGCTACTGAAGGCCTCATTAGAAAAAGGCATTTTATTACATATAATTCTTTGTTTTAAATGGCTTTTATTTCTGTATTTTTTAGAGAAGATGTGGTTAAAGTTTTGAATGAAGCCATAGACAACAGAGAAGAGGGCATTGTGTTGAAAGATCCAGACTCTGTGTATCGACCAGCATCACGCAAAGCTGGATGGATTAAAGTCAAGCCTGAGGTAAAGCAATATTCACTTTAAATACAAGATAAATATATATTTTCTGGAGTAGCCCCTTGTGGCTCCCCGAAATTATCTTCCTGAGATTGCTTTATACTAAAAGGTCACATCAGTCTTAGATAGTTCTGTTTAATCTTCCAGGGACCAGAGCCAGAACCTTCCTTCCCCCCCAACTCCTTGAGAGGTACAGGGAGCAGGTGACAAATGGCCAATTATATCCTTTCTGGGGGGAGCCCCATCAGCTCCCTGCATCAGCTCCATCAGCATCCAGGCTGATATGTTACTATTAGCTTTCTGGCATCAGTCAGAGTGCATGGAGTTCTTTCCTACCAGGGACCACAAGCCAGAACCTGGCCCCCCCCCCCTCAGAGTGGCATGTGGAGCAATGGCCTATAGAAACCCCCGTATGGTTGGTAGTATTCTATGTCTGCCATCGACCGGGTCTGGCACCCAGAAAGGTAGGCACCCCAAAACAAATCCCTATTCCGGTGAAAACATTGCTACCAAAAGCCGAATGAGAGGATAGCTCTCCCCAAATGAAAACTTGCAACTACCATGATGTCATCACGTCGCCTTGCCGCTGTCTGCACAGCCCCCTGTCCCCATGAGGGGAAAGGGGGAGCCCCCAGACCTCCACACCGGTGATCCAACCTTCAGTTCTTAGACTGATGTGATACTGGCTGTGTGTGTGCCTCTGGCTCCAGTTTTGTTTTGAGTTACTGTCCCTTGTGGCTTGGTCTGTCTCTACTGGTGGTGTGTGAGCGAGAAGTGATATTCTACAGTACGTGGGCTGCATGCGCCTAGGGTTTTCTTCCCTAAGTGCCCTGTAAGTACTGCCCTTGGGGCTTGGGGCCTCCTTACACAAGTCACCTTGGGCCCTCCCTCACTATGTCTTTTACTGCTCGGTACTTGGCCACCCTTAGAGTCAGCTGGGGGTCTTTGTTGCCCTTGTTTGCTTCTGGGTAGGAGGTAGTTCTCGTCACTGGTAGGGAGCGCAGGGTAGTGCACAGCTAGTTGTCACCTATTATAGTGGCCTTGGGAAACCCCACGGGAGCTACGGGGTCCGATGGAGGTAACCCTTGAGTACCCCCCTCACTTTGTGTGATGTTGATGGTTGCTCTGTCTCCTTGTCTCAAAGTGATATTCACCGGTTGTGCTTCCGCCGTGCTGTCTGTTGGGTCGGTGGTTCTTTAGACCCGGAGTCGTGCGTCGTTATTGTTGGTGTGTCCTCCAGTTCACCCTCGCTACTGATCATGGTCGAGGGTGCAGGTAGCAGCTGCATTGCATGCCTAGATTCTGGTTGCTGTAATGGTATGGTTTGGTTGCTTCCCTGAATGTCCTGAGACTGCCCTGTTTTGGTTTTAGGGACCCAGGCTTGGGGGTGGGAGTCGCTTCGCTTTTGGTGCCTTTCGCTTTTCCTTCCCCTTCCCTGGTCTTCTCCTCCTTGGCTTCCGGCTCTGGTCCTTCCGTGGGTTCAGAGGCAGGGGCTGGGTTTAGTTGATGTTGAGACTTGGGCGGTTTCGGGGGTTTCCCCTTCCTAGGTGGTGGCAGAGGCATTCGAGCCTATTCCTCCTGCCGATGTGTATGGGTCTGACCAGTGGGCCCCGCCTTCCTTAGTGTTTTTTCTGCTGCCCTGGCTTTTTCTTGTGAGGCCGGGGCTTTGGGGGGGACAGATCAGCTCCGAGTCCTTGTCATAAGGTTCCCGGGGCGAGGGAGGGGTTGACTTTGGGCCTTGGCCCTGTTGGTCTCGCCTGGGTTTTTGTACCTTCGGAGCGGGGCTTGGTGTTACAAGGTGGGGGCTTTCTTTCGCTCCCTTCTCATTCGACTTTGATTTGGCTTTTACCCTTTCCCGGGTTCGGTTCCATGATCCCGTGGGTTCCTCGGTCCTATACTTCTGGGGGGTTTTCGGCTTCCCACGTTCCTTTTTATGTGGGGCGGGAAGCACTTGCGGCTTACCTCCTATGCAACCTAGATTATGCTTCGTGTCTAGATCTTCGTGTCTGTCCTGGTTTCATTATAATGTTCTGGAGTCGTCCTGGCTTGCAGACTGCCCGCTCTTCTCGATGGAGGCTTGGCACCTGTTCTGTCGGTCCCTCGCGCTTGAGTGGAGAGATGCTCGGACAGTGTTGCAGGTCTTCCTTGGCGCTTTTGTGTGTCTTAATGCATGTTGTTCACCTATGCTCCGCGGGTGGTTAGTGTGATGCAGCTTTGTGTGCAGGTTCCCAGCCGGTCCGCATGTCTGCTCGACGAGAATTGGTTCTTTCCCAGCTCGCCGGGTTTGGTTTCCCGATGCACTGGTGGAGGTCCCATCTGGTTCTCTCTCCGATTTGGTCTTGGCTGGATCTTGTGTGGGGCTCTTGGGCCACTTTCTTGTCCCTTCCTTCGATGGCTCTGCTTCGCCTGCACTCCTGCCTTTGTCTGTTCCTGACGGGGGCTCCCGGGTCACGCAGCAGTTGCTTGTGGTTATGCGGAGTACCTGAACTTTGCCAAGTTAGTCTTCCCACCAGGTTGGGCGTGGCTTCGACGGCTGGTCTGGTTCCTTCGGAGACGTCTTGCGACCGCTGGGTTTGGCCACCGGGAGATTTGCATCGGTTGCTGCGCCGCCGGCTTCCTCTTGGGGTTTTCGAGGTTCAGTGCCTTGGTGCCTACCCGAGCCCTCACTTGATGTTCTTACGGACGCGTCGTCTCTTGGCTGGGATTTTGTGACCTGTGCTCGCCAGGCCGGCCTGGAATGGTGGGGGGTCCGTCTCTCCGTCGGGCTCACAGCACAGTGTGGGGATTTGTGGCTGTGTGGATGTCACTCCGAAGGTTTCGGGTCACTCATGGTTCGACGATCTGGCTCCAATCGGACTGTTTCTCAGTAGTTCCTTGCTTGAATCGTTGGGGTTTGGTGTGGTCCTTGGCTTTTTGGGTCTGGTCGCTTTGAGTGACTTGGCTACTGAGTTCTCGGGATTGGCCCTCCTGGTGTTTCACGTTCGGGGAGTGTCCTAGGTCCTGGCTCGCTTGGAGCCTTCCGGAAGTGTGTTGTTCTTCCTGCTCTTTGGTAGCCGGCCCTGCCATGCTTCAGGCGCTGTTTGCTTGATGTCCGAACCCAAGGGTCTTCCCGCAGCTCTGCCTCTTTTTGCAGATTTATCCAGCTAGGTACGTAGCTGGTACGTTCTTCTCCTCGCATCTTCGCGTTTGGGGTTTTTGTCTTGAGCTTTTCGTCCATGGTATGGGAGCAGGTGGCTTCGTTGTTGGTCTCCCACCTGCGTGTTTCGTCTTCGATGGTAATATGTAGTTTCCTGGCAGTCCTTCTGGTTTTCCTATCACAGTGTAGGTGTTCTTCGGTCTTTGATAGGGTTGTTTTGTCCTTCCTTTTGTGGTTATCCCAGGACTGTATCTTATGCCAAATACTGTCGCCTCGTATCGTACGGGGCTGGCAGAGCCGCTCCAGCTTGCATTTGGTGTTGATGTTACTTTCGCTCTGTTCCGCAAGCTGTCTCGTTCGTTGCTTCACGTCTGGCCTGCTCATGCACTTCTGGTGCCGTCCTGGTCGTTGACCCGGGTTCTCTCTTTTTCTTTCTTCTCCTCGGTTTGTCGTGGCCCCTTTGGTTCAGGTTTGTTTTTCCAGGTCTCGTTTTCCTGTTGACGTTGGCCTCTGGGGGTCGGGTTGTGGAGCTTCCGGCTCTCTTCTGGCGCACAAATTTTTTCTGCTTGTTTGGTCCTGGTAGTAGGTTTGTTTGTTTGCAGCAGTTTCCTTCTTTTCTGGCGATGTTTGGGTCTGCTGTTTTCCAGAGGGGTCCTTGGGTTGTTGATGCTTGGTTGGTTGGGCCGGGGGTGCATCATGTCTTGTGTTCGATTGCGGCTTTTTGCCGTTCTCTGTGCATCTTGGCCTCTGTGGCCATTGGCATACTTTGGTTTGCCCGGGCTCATTTCCTTCCTTCCTGTCCCGGGGTTCAGGTCTCCCGGGTCGTCTGCAGGGTCCTTTGGTATTGTCTTGTTTTTTAGTTAGGGCGCATGGCATCTGCCTCCCGGGTTCTTCCCTCTTTTCCTTATCTTTGGTGAGGTAGCTCCGGGGAACCGACAGGGCTCTCCTCAGAAAACCAGCATTGAATGTAATGAAACACCATTTTCTGGGTGAGATGTGGAGGCTCCATGGCATCCCTCCCTCCCTCTCGGTCGGTAATATTTTCGCGTGTTTTTGACATCCAGCCTAAGAACTGGAGGTTGGATTGCTGGTGTGGAGGACTGGGATTCCCCCTCCCTCCTCCCGGGGAGGGCAGGGGGTGGGGGTTGCACAGACGGTGGCGCGGCGACGTGTTGATGTCATGCTAGTTTCTAGTTTTCATGTGGGGAGTTTTGTCCACTCGTTCTGCTTACAGTAGCAATGTTTTCACCAGAATAGGGGTTTGTTTTTGGGCGCCTACCTTTCTGGGTGCCAGACCTGGTTGATAGCAGACATAGAATGCTTCCAATTACACAGTTTCTATAGGCCATTGCTCCTCATGCTCCTCGGGCCAGGTTCTGGTTCGTGTCTCCAGTAGGCAAGAACAGCCTGAATAGCTCCAGGGAGCCTCCGAGTCTCACCCTGAAAATGATGTTTCATTACATTCAACGTTGGTTTTTTTGACTCCCTCAAATATGCTCACTTGACGAAGAAGGTAATAATACAGTGTTGATGTTCTCCCTGTGGCACAAGGTTCCCAGTGTTGCTTTGTATTCTCCCTGTGGCATGTTATCTTGAGGTTATCTTCAGATGATTTCGGGGCTTAGTGTCCCCGCGGCTCTGTCCTCGACCAGGCCTCCACCCCCAGGAAGCAGACTCCAAAGTGTGGCTCTGTGTTCTCCCTGTGGAACAAGGCTCCCAGTGTGGCTCTGTGTTGTCCCTGTGGCACAAGGCTCCCAGTGTGGCTCTATGTTCTCCCTGTGCCACAAGGCTTTCAGTGTGGCTCTTTGTTGTCCCTGTGGCACAAGGCTCCCAGTGTGGCTCTGTGTTGTCCCTGTGGCACAAGGCTCCC